CAGGTTCTAAGCACCTAACGAATGATTCATATTAAAAGTTAACATGGTAAAGAGGGCACCAGCCAGCAACCACTGGGGAAGGATTTGAAGACACCATATTGGCCTTGGAAGTTCAGTCTTGAATGCTGATACCAGAAAGATTCTAAAAAGATATTTACTTTGTTGAAAAAAAATTCAAAAATTAGGAATAGTGAGAAGTGTATGGTTCAAAAAAAAATAACATGAGTTTCAAAGAGCACCGTAACACATGTCTTGAGACCAAACTGAACAGTGACAATGCTGATGAACTACCATCAGGTAGAAAGGACCCAAGTTTGGGAGATATTGAGCCCTGCTCTAGACCTGCAGAATGAGAAATCCAGAAAAGGCATAACTAAGTTTTCTAGGGTACCCTCAAGACTGCACCCTTGAAAATGGACAAACATGCTGGGACAAACCTCCAACCACCTCCCCAGATAGAAGGATTTGATTGAGGGGCTGGGAAGGTGGCTCAGTGGTAGAGCGCTTGCCTTGAATGCATGAGGCCCTGGGTTCGATTCTCCAGCACCACATAAGCAAAAAAAAAAAAAAAAAAAAAAAGCCGGAAGTGGCGCTGTGGCTTAAGTGGTAGAGCGCTAGCCTTGAGCTGAAGAGCTGAGGGACAGCGCCCAGGCCCAGAGTTCAAGCCCCACGACCGGACCCAAAAAAAAAAAAAAAGCATTTGATTGAAGCTTAATGGGGAACCCACATATCCACTTCTAAAATACTAGCCAAACTGAAGTTGGTAGGAAACATTCTGATAAACATAGAAAGAACTATTAGTGAGTTCCATTTATGAGATTTGTGTGTGTGTGTGTGTGTGTGTGTGTGTAATTTTAGATGTTTAAAACAAACAAATTGAAGATGCCAAGAAAACACCACATTAAGAAATTACTCAAGCGTAAGCCAGGAGTGGTGGTGTACACCTGTAATACAAACATTAGGGAGGCCACGGTGGCAACTGCAAGTTCAAGACCAACCTGGGCTACATATGGAGAGCCTGTCATTCTTCAGCAAATAAGTAATAAACAAAGAAGGAAATAAATAAATAAGAAGAAAAAGAAACTACTGAAGCTTAGTCCTAAAAATTATCAACAACTACAAATGAGTCAGGGATGCCCATAGAGAGAGTGTGAATATTAACTCTGTAAAGGCTCAGCTTTGTCACGTCACTAACCTCTCTGAAGTTTCCCCATCTGTACAGAAGGTTTTACCTATGCTCACTGGAGGACTGGATAAACAACAATGCATACTGTGGTGCTTGGCAAATGGTAGAGAGCTCCACAGCGGTAGTATGCCAAGGAACCCAGCTCAGCGCTAGATGCCTCTCTCCTTTAAAACAAGAAGCAAATACCTGAGGTGTCACACATCCGCCGTCCAGTGCCATGCGCCCTCCGGGGGTTGCTGTGCCTATAAATAATGTGGGGTTTGTTTTGTTCCTCTTCCTCCTCTTGTTCATCCATAGACAACAGTGGTTCAATAAAATAATCCCCATCATAGGACCGGAATGTGCCCAGCTGCAAATGAAGAGATGAGATGTTGATTTCACATCACTCGGCCAATAGCAGGAAACAAACAACAAACGAAAAACCACAAAAAAAGCAAAGCAAAAACCCCAAAAACATAGTTGAAAGATTTCAAGTAGAGAGAGGGTGTTTAGTGCAAAGCCCCTTTTCCCAGGAGGGCTGCTTAAAGTGAGGACTGGACCTCACACGTGGAGTAGTGGTGTATCTTCACACTCTGCCACAGTGGCTCCTCGTGTGTGATATGACTCTGGCTTATTGTGCCAGCTGACAGTTTCCTTGCTGTCCAAATCTAGGTTTTCCAGGGTACCAAACTTCTAATCACACTATTCCGACAGACTGTTAAACCAGAATGTTCCTGGGTGCTAAGGCTGCCAGGAGTCTTGGAGACAAATGTGTGCTATACTGGAAAAAGCTGGCAGAGTCTGAAGCCTTCTCAGATTCACATCCAGGAGGCTTACATTAGCCATAATGTATCTCAGGTGGTACTACCTGGACCCCTAGTATACAGACCTGCCAGGTCCCTTTCCCAGAGCAACAGAGGATCGATGCTCCTGGCTTTGGAGTCAAACTACCCTCGCTTCCTGTCCTATCAGGTTCAAGGCCAACCACACCAACCTACCCACCTTGGGCAAGTTCCCTGACTACTCTGAGATTTAGCTTTTTTTCTTTTGTGTGTTGGGTCCTGGGGCTTGAACTCAGGACCTAGTCACTGTCCCTGAACTTTTTTTTTCTTTCAAGGCTGATGTCCTATCATTTGAGCCACTGTTCCATATCTAGCTTTTTGATGATTACTTGGAGATCAGAGCCTTACGGACTTTTCTGCACCAGCTGGCTTTGGACCACGATCCTAAGATCTCAACTCCTGAGTAGCTAGATTACAGGCATGAGCCACTGGTGCTCAGGTTTAGTATTTTTGCTTGTCATTTAGACAGTCTCTATAAGGGTAGTTGTATTGTACAGATGATGAGATAAGGCAAAGTGTCTGGCCCTTTCTTAGGATTCAGAACCAAGGAATGGTTTTTGGTGCTGTGCTTGTGTTAATCTCTAGCCCTGGGGAAACAACTTGCTTTTCACCAGTTGTTCTGAATATTCCTTCTCCCCTCCCCATATACCTACACGTTTTGCAAATGATTGGGAAGCCTCAAGGATGGACAAACATTGGAAGAACACGGAACACTGACTGCCTCGTGCCATCTCCGGAGGATGAACAGAGAGAAATCAAGTTCTTCTCACCCCATCCCCAGTCTTCTTCCCACTCAGAAAGATAATCAGAAGCCTCTATCTACTCTTCCCTGAACACAGGAGAAATTATAGCACCTAATGTCAGCCAGAGCTGGTTTGAAATTCAAGTCATGGTGTTTCACCCCAAATCTGATCAAATGCATCAAAATCTCTGGGGTAAAGATATGGAAAATGGTATGCTATGAAACTCTCCGGAGCCGGGTGCTGGTGGCTCACGCTTGTAATCCTAGCTACTCAGGAGGCTGAGATCTGAGAATCAAGATTCAAAGCCAACCCAGGCAGGAAAGTCTGTGAAACTCTTATCTCCAATAAAGTGACACTGTAGCTCAAGTGGTAGAGTGCTAGCCTTGAGCTGAAGAGCTGAAGGGTAGCACTCAGGCCCAGAGTTCAAGCCCCATGACCAACAAAAAAAAGAGAAAGAAAGAAAGAAAGAAAGAAAGAAAGAAAGAAAGAAAGAAAGAAAGAAAGAAAGAAAGAAAGAAAGAAAGAAGGAAAGAAAGAAAGAAGAAACTCCCCGGATATGTTTATCATGATATATAAAATTTGAGAAGGATTAGGCTCAAGCTGCTTTCCAAAACCAAACAGCACCAAAATGGCCTGTGAAGTGGTTTGGGATATTTAGTTTTTACATACGATTTAGAATGCCAAAGAAAAGGCAGTTCTAGGGTAGCCTAAGACCACTAAGACCACCACTAAGACCACAGGGTGCCTGACCACTAGAAAAGAAACTGGTTAACACCTTCATTCACACTCATTCTGACCTAGGCTCCTCTTTCCATTGTCAGTACAGAACTGTGGCATTCTGGGAGTCCAGTTAGCCTACCAGAAACGCCAACCCCGAGGAAGAGCCTGGGAGTTTAGCAGCTGAATATCTGCCTCCTGGGATTAGGAAAGGACAAACCAAGGCGCAGGAAGGAGACTTGGCAAACCTTCCCTCTGAGGTGGTACAGAAGCAGGGAATGCTAATGCCAATCTAGAATGCAACACAGAAAGCAAAACAGAAGCAGAGGTGTGGCCCAAGTGGTAGAACACTTGCCTTGAGTGGAAACAGTGAACAGTGCTTAGGCAGGCCCCAAGTTCAAGCCCCAGTACCAGCACAACTAATAAAATAAAAATTTAAATGATGGTGCCAATATTACCTGCTGGTAATTCATGAACAACTGGTTAAAGTACGAACACAATGAAAAAGGATCCAATAAAGGAGACACATGGATTGATGGACTCTGCTACCAAGTAGAAAGGATAAGATGGTGAGTACGGAACTGTAGCCCACTAGAGAAGGTGGCAAGTGCCCTCAGAGTGGCATTGTGTGCACTAAGGCAAAGGGCAGGGGTGGCAGTCGTTGGGAGACCTGTGGACAGGTGTCCTTGGAGAGAGGAGATGAAAACTGGCACTTTACAGGAAGGAGTGTGTTTCACGTATGGAAAGGTATGTGAAGTAATTTGAATGAAGGAGCACGTGGCAGACTGCTTGAATCACAGGACATTAGGACTTTGAGTGACCAGTGACTATAATGGAAAGGGTATTAAATACCAGATGAAGGAATTTGTATATGTTCATTTAGGAGATGTAAAGGATGCGGTAAAGTATGAGAACAGGGAGGTGATGTGATCTTGGTAGGCACCAGCCTAGTAAGAGCAGGAGAGAAGATGGCTGAGATAGACATGTTCAGCAGAGATGAGCAATGTATCTGAGGGAGAATTCAGCAAAACTGGTAATTGACTTGGGAGGGGATTTGTTGTCCGCATGGCCCATTCCACTGGAGCCAAAGAGCAAAGTGTTAGAACATCATGGTGTAGCAGCTGCTACAGAAACTATAAAGAGAAGTTCTTGGGAAGAAAGAAAATTTCCAAAATGAAGATAAGCGGTTTGAAAGGGGTTGGTGGAGGGGGGGGAGGGTTTGGAACTGGATTAATGGCTGGATATACAAAGTGCCAGCCAGAATGCCTATCTTTAAGACATATGCAGTTCCTTCTCCCCAAAAGAAGCAGGTTGCAAATTAAATGCCATCTAAATGGGATTACCCCAGAGCAGCCGGTGCTTTGGGAAGCCTGGGCTCTCACTTCCTAACAAGACCACGTGTGTGCGTTGCCACCTAAAACTACCAATGGAAAGGACGGTTCTGAGCAGCAAAACATTTTTTTTTTTTATGCAACTACCAGGATTCAGCCCTGGGAGGCGGGGAGAGAGGAGGAGTAAAGACTGTTTACAAACTTGACGTACACAAGCAGTCTTTCTCTGGGGTTCTGGAATCGGGGGTGGGGATTACTACCTTGAAATCTGGCAGTGCTGTGGGAAGCACTGGGCATGGAGGGACTCCCAACTTGTGCCCACCTAGGCGGTAACCGGAGAGTCCAGGCAGGCTCTAACTCGGGGCCCCATGACTCACCGCAGCACCCCCACCCCTGCGCCAAGCTGCGGTCTCCGCCTACCCCCCCACACCACCTCTGCCACCGACTCTGGGAGCTGCTGATTCCAAGGAGCTCAGCCGGGAGATAAAGGGCCTCAGCCCCTTTGCCCCCCTCCCACACCTCAGCTTGCCCAGATCTTCCAGCTCCCACTCTTTTGGCTGGCTTCGCCCTACAAAGGACCTTTCCTTTGGGAAGAAGACCCCAAGCGCGGCAGGCAGCAGAGCACCCCAGGGTGAGTACCCAAGCCCTGGCTTAGAAAAGGAGATGATGAGGGTAGTGCGAAGGGGTTGGCTGGAGGAGGAGGAGGGGGGAGTGGGGTGGGAGTAGGGGGTAAACGCAGGTTTTCATGCCATTTTGCGCGTCCGTGCCGGCGCAGACGGCAAGCCAAGCCAGCCGCGGGAAAGTTTCTGCGTCACAGCGCGTGGTAGAAACGCACGTCGCCCGGAAAAGTCAAGGACCACCCTGGTTGGGGACAGAACCTTCCATCAGTCCCCTCAAAGGTCCTCGGAAGAGGGGAAGGACGCCCACCGAGATCTGGTGGAGGGCAAATGGAGAGGGGAGGGCGGTCAGAAAGCAGCAGGTCCAAGTTGGACTTCCTCCACCCACCCCTTCTTCCACAAGTGCGCATTTAGCCAGGCTGGGAGGTGCCCATCCTCCTTATTGAAAGGACTGGGGCTGATACCCCCCCCCCCCCTCCATCTCCTTTGAACCTGCCGGGGTTCCCGAACACCGGAATCGCCTGGAGGGGGGGTGGAAGGGGGAGTGGCCTCTCCAGGCTGTCTCACAAGGTTCCCGCATCTCGGGCCACCCCGCCAGCAGGGTGCAGAGTCGGACTGCGCGGCACCGCCCCCCCCCCCCCATCCAAAAACATCGCCGACGCTGCGGCAGGCTCCGCCCTCTCTCCCCGCCCTCCCAGTCCTGGGCCCACCCTTCCGCTCCTGGGATGGGACCTGCTCCCTGTCAATCCCGAGCCGTCCTCAAGAGTCTTCAGCACGCGATTAGAAAAGAGAGGAGGGGGGCGGGGGGAGGCTCCGAAAGAACGCCGGCGACTCCAGATTACATTCCGCCATCCACAAACCACACCGAAGGACCTCTCGGCCCCGCGCCGGGGGAGCCTGGGGATTGTCAACTCCGGTCCCCGCCTCGGGGACGCACCAATGAGGCGTCGGGTCCGCCCCGCGCTCAGCTGCTCCGCGGCCAGGCGGGGCAAGCGCTGCAGCCAGAAAAAACCACGACTCCGGCAACTTTTCTCCGAGTTTGGAAGCTGACTTCCAGGCTGCGGGACAGCTCCACCTCCCACCTCTGCCCCCGAAGCTCCGGCGATCGACGCGTGCGCTCCTGGCACACCTAGAACTGTAGTCTCCCCCCCGCGCCCCCCAATCCCCTTCCCCAACTCGGGGAGCTAGGCGAGTTTCTGATATTTGAACGCTCAGGGATTCCCTCCGTGCGGCTGGTTCACGGTGCAGACCCGGGAGCGCCGGGGAGAGGCGGATGGGGGTGAGGGGGTCGGGCGCGCGCGCCCACTTACCATTCCCGAGCAGAGGCTAATGACGGCCGTGTGCTCAGACTTAGTGTTGACATGGCCTTTGTAGAAACAGTGCTTGAGTTCCGCTTCTTCTTGGGAATAAAACTTGGTCTGGTTCACCGCGGGCTCCCCGAGGAGGGTGACGGTGAACAGCGGAGCGATAAATCCGGCATGGGCGGTGAGATTAAATAGAAACTGCTGGCCGAAGGCGGAGAGGCGGTAATGCGCCCGGGAGGAGGAGGTAGAAGAGGAAGAGGAGGAGGAGGAGGCGAAGGCAGGCCAGGGGTCAGAGGCAGAGTTAATGCTCCGTCGCCTTCTTTTGAAGTGCACGTTCGTGGGAAAGGGCTCGCCGAGGGCGTTCACTCGGATGGGGGACGCGATTTCGTACTCGCTCAGGGTCTCTAACAACTTGGCTGCAGAGAGGGGTGGGGGGAAGCAGAGGTAGGAAAGCTATGAACTCATTTTCCCGCAAGTTTTAATTTAAAAAGAAAGGGGGCGAGGAGGGGGGGGGGAGCTTTGTTCAGACTTAATTTCCAGCCTAGCCGAGCGAATCCTTGCACTTCTCATCAGTGGACTAATATTTACAAAGTGCCTACTAGGGAATCCTAAGAGTCAAGGAGCTCCCCGGGAGGCTGGCGGGGGAAGGGGCGAGGGGAGAGACGGGGGACACAGTGCACAAGATTACACAAGATAATGTCCGATCCTGATACATACCCGGACGAATACATAAGTTAAACGCACGCTACCGAGTGAGCCCGATTACTAAGTCACTTTCCTCTGGGACGTGAGGGATGGGGAAAGCTGAGAGACCCGATTCAAAGTGGGGTCGCGGGGCTAGCCATTCCCCATGTCGGGGTTCCGCCCTCCCCCTACACACATACACACACACACACACACACAACAACTGGCTAGCGTAGTAACCCCCCGAGAAGGGACAGGCTCCGAAGCGGGAGGTGAAGTCTTTCTAGGAAAAGGAGAGGCCTCTCTCTCCCTGGGCTGCCGGGGTGCCCCCGCCCAGGAGTTCAGTTTGGGGGAGGCGACGGATGCCCGGGTGGATGGGAGGCTTGTTTTGTTGTTTTTCTTTTCGGGGGTTGGGGAAAGCTCTCCAACCTTCCGATGATTTACCTTGCCTCGGATGCAGCCTGTCCTTGCGCACGGCCGCCGCGGCGTCTGGGCTCCCCATCTCGGCCAGGTCCCGCACCAGGAGCGTGAGCAGTGTGGCCCAGGATACAAACTGCATGGTGCTCCGCACCCCTCCCCCCGCGGCGCCCCCACCCCCGCCCGCCCGCCCGCCCGCGTGCCCGCTCCGCCGGCGCCCGCGACGCCGAGCCGCCGGGCAGCGGCCGTGCACAGCGCGCGCGCCCAGCCGGCCGCCAACTTTTTTTTTTTTTTTTTTTTTGGACTTTTAGGAGTCGCTGAGGTCTGGCGAGGAGGGTCCCGGGTGCGCTCGGCCGAGCAACGCTGCTGCCGCCTGCCGAGAGCTCAGCCGCTCGGGCTTCAGGAGGAGCCGCGGGAGGAGGAGGAGGCGGAGGAGGAGGAGGCGGAGGACGGCTGGGGCTCCGCTGCTCGGCCGCATAATGTCCAGTAAGCCGGCCAGGAGAAGGCGCGGAACGTGCGCTCCCCGGCGCGCCGGGCGCCCTGTGCCGGCCGGGGTGGCGGAGCGGCTTCTTGAATGGGGGGCCGTGGAGAGGCGAGGTGAGGGGCGGGGGGGGGAGCCGCGAGGGGCCGCGGGGCGTCCGCCGCTCAAATACCCCCGGTGCACGCCTCTCGGAGGAGGAGGAGAGGGGAGGAGAAAGCCGGGCGGCGCGGCCCGCCTCCACACCACGTCCCCTCCTCGGCCGGCCCGTGCGGGACTCGCCGCCCGAGGCCCCGTCAGCCACCGGAGGCGGAGATCGGGGGCGTCCCCGCCCAGCCGCGCCCCCTTCCTGAGGTCGGCTTTGGTGGGAGGGGTGGGGAAGGGGAGGAGGGGGGGGGGGGAAGAGTAGAGAAAGTTCTCTCCCTGGGCTGGCGCGCACGGCTCCCGGAGTCTTTTCCCAGCCTGGTCTCCGTCCCCGTCCCGGTCTCCGGCCGTCTCTCCGGGTCCCTAATGCCCTAGAGTTCGTCCCCTCCTTTTGCTCTCGGCCCGGCGCCCCCCCCTTCCCCCGCCCGGTCGTTTCCCACCAGTCCTTTTCCTCTCGATCGCTAGCGAGCGGGGAAGCGAACCCCGGGTAGGAAGGCTCCCCGACCTCCCGGGACGAGACCAGCCACCTGATCCGCTTCCCCGCCCCCAGGTGAAGCGTGATACCCACGGGGAGGGGGGGCTGCCCGTGCGCCCCACCCCTGTTTCCCATCCACGGTCTCCTGGAAATTTCCCAACACTTTCACCCTGTTCGGCCTCCAGCTCCGGCCGGGCCCTCAGGTTTTTGTGGGTTCCCTAGCCCCCCCCCCAAAAAGGTTAAGAATCACTGTGGGCTACGGGAGGGGGGCGGGGACTCCGCTGCCCCGGGCGGCCCCGGAGTTCGGAGACGCGAGGGCAGGGGAGGGGAAGGGAGGAGAGACCGAGTGCAAAGTTGGGGAAGGGCCTATCCTCCCCCCCAACCCCCCTCCCCCCCCCCCCCCCCCCCCCCCCCGCCAGGGGACTTCTCAGTCACTTCCTCTTGCTTTTAAGGGCTGAGGTCCCAGGCTCCCCCAGCGGCTCTGAGTCGATATTTTAACGCTACATCTCCCTCCCTCTTGGGATGCTTGTTTGAAAGCCAGAAATTGTGCTAGACTAGGGAGCAAGGGCCGGCCTGTAATCCCAGCTAGTCAAGAAGCAGCGATCTGAGGATCTAGAAAGTCAGTGAGAGGAGAGTATTTACCTCCAAGGAAGCACCCAAGCAAGCCAGAAGCCAAGCTGTGGCTTAAGTGTTAGAGCACCAGCCTTCAGTGGGAAAAGCTAAAGGACAGTGCCCAGGCCCTGAGTTCAAGTTCCAGAACTGGCACAAAGAGACAAGAAAAACAAAACTTAAACAACAAAACAACAAGGGCTGGGAATGTGGCTTAGTGGTAGAGAGCTTGCCTACCATGCATGAAGCCCTGGGTTTGATTCCCCAGTACCACATAAACAGAAAAGTAGTAAATGGCGCTGTGGCTCAAGTGGTAGAGTGCTAGCCTTGAGCAAAAACGGCTCAGGGCAGTGCCCAGACCCTGAGTTCAAGCCTCAGGATTGGCACAACAAAAACAAACAAAAAAAAAAAACCACTTTTTCCTTTAGCTTCAGGAGGCAAGGATATATTCATCTCAATAGAATGGACATGGCACAAACATAGAAGACATAGCTAATGAATATATATATATGTATATATATTTGCTCAAAATATCCTACAATCTAAGCTCTCTTTCTTGGAAGTCCACCACTGAACATATCAAAGGCTGCCTAGAGGAAGGACCAAAAGGGAATACTCTAGAAGAGCCACCTAGTCTGCAAAGAGTAATACATGCATTTCTCCTGATATGCAAGACTGAAGTTTTCTAAAGATATTTTCAGAGTTAACCTTGCCCTTATCTAGCTGTGTTACTGGGATTGTGTTAATGGGCATGCAAAGTAAAGATGAGCCAGGAGCTAGTGGCTCACACCTGTAATCCTGGCTCCTCAGGAGACTGAGATTTGAGCATTGTGGTTTGAAGCCAGCCCAGGCAGGAAACTCTGTGAGACTTATCTCCAATTAAACACACACACACACAAAAAA